GGAAAAATCTCCAGGATTTGGGAGAAATCAGGGAAAAACTCCAGGATTTGAAGAAATCCAGGAAAAAACTGCAGGAAAGTTCCAGGATTTGGGAAAATCTGGGAAAAAACTGCAGGAAAATTCCAGGAATTGGGAAAATCCAGGAAGAAGCTCCAGGAAAGCTCCAGGATTTGGAGAAATCTGGGAAAAATCTCCAGGATTTGGGAAAAATCTGTGAAAAAACTCCAGGATTTGGAAAATTCCATGAAAAAGCTCCAGGAAAGTTCCAGGAATTGGAGAATTGGGGAAAGAGCTCCAGGATTTGGAAAAATCAAGGAAAAAACGTCCAGGAAAGTTCTAGGATTGGGAAAAATCTGGGAAAAAAACTCCAGGATTTGGAAAAATGTGGGGAAAAACTTCAGGAAAGTTCCAGGAATTGGAGAAATCTGGGAAAAAGCTCCAGGATTTGGGAAAATCTGTGAAAAAACTCCGGGAAAGTTCCGGGAATTGGAGAAAAATCTGGAAAAAACTCCAGGATTTGGAAAAATCAGGGGAAAATCTCCAGGATTTGGGAGAAATCAGGGAAAAACTCCAGGATTTGAAGAAATCCAGGAAAAAACTGCAGGAAAGTTCCAGGATTTGGAAAAATCAAGGAAAAAACGTCCAGGAAAGTTCTAGGATTGGGAAAAATCTGGAAAAAAAACTCCAGGATTTGGAAAAATGTGGGGAAAAACTTCAGGAAAGTTCCAAGAATTGGAGAAATCTGGGAAAAAGCTCCAGGATTTGGGAAAATCTGTGAAAAAACTCCGGGAAAGTTCCGGGAATTGGAGAAAAATCTGGAAAAACTCCAAGCTTTGGAAAAATCAGGGGAAAATCTCCAGGAAAGTTCCAGGATTTGGGAAAAAGCCGGGAAAATTTCTTGCTTCTTTTCCATCAGGAATTTCCCTTTTCCAGGTTTTTTTTTTGGGCCTCTCATTCCCAGTTTTCCTCCAGGAAAAGGAGCAGGAATTCAGGGAAATTTGGGAAAAAAATCCCTCCCAGCCTTAAATCTTTGAGTTCCAGCTGGAGGAGGAGGGGAAAAAAAACCTGGGAAAAAAACCCCAAATCCAAGGGAATTCCCGGGGAATGGAGGATTTGGGATTCCTGGGAAAGGAGCTTTGGAATAATTCCAGGTGGTTCCAAATCCAAGGGAAAGAAAGGATTTTATTTGGAAAAATAGAAAAAATAGGAAAGGAGGAGCTGCCAGAGGTTCTGGGGGGTTTTGGGGAAGAAATTCCCGAATTTTGGGGGAATTTGGAGGGTGGGATGGAATTTCATGGGGTGGGTGGGGTTGGGGTCATTCCCAAGGGAAAGCAGTGTGGAATTCCAGGGGATCCCATTTTTCCAGGGGTTCCCAGGAGGATGGGAAATTCTGGGAATGGAAGGAGGGAAATCCTGGGATTAAAGGTGGGAAATCCCAGGAAAATCTTGGGAATGGAGCCAGGAAAATTCTGGGAATTGAGGGGGGAAAATCCTGGAAAAATCTTGAGAAAGGAGGCTGGAAAATCTTGGGATAAAAGGATGGGAAATCTTGGGAATTGAGGATGGGAGGTCCTGGAAAGGAGGCAGGAAAATCTTGGGGAAAAAGGGCGGGAAATCCTTGGAAATTAGGGTGGAAAATCTTGGGAATTGGGAGTGGGAAATCCTGGGAAATGAGGCAGGAAAATTCAGGATATAAGGGTTGGAAATCCTGGGAGAGGAGGGTGGGAAATTTTGGGAATTGAGGGTGAAAAATGGTGGGAAAAAAGGGCGGGAAACCCTGGAAAGGAGGGTGGAAAATCCTGAAAAAATCTTGGGGAAAAGGGGTGGGAAATCCCGGGAAATGAGGGCAGGAAATCCTGGAAAGGAGGCAGGAAAATCTTGGGGAAAAGGGTGGGAAATCCTTGGAAATGAGGATGGGAAATCCTGGAAGAATCTTGGGAAAAAAGGGTGGAAAATCCCAGGAAAGGAGGGTGGGAAATTTTGGGGAAAAAGAGGTGGAAATTCCTGGGAAAGGAGGCAGGAAAATCCTGGGAATGGAGGGTGGGAAAATCCTGGGAAAAACCAGTGGAAAATTCTGGGAATGGAGGGTGGGAAATCCTGGGAAATGAGGGTGGAAAATCTTGGGAATGGAGCCAGGAAAATTCTGAGAATTGAGAGTGAAAAACGGTGGGAAAAAAGGGTGGGAAAATCCTGGAAAGGAGGGCGGGAAATCCCGGGAAAAAATGGTGGAAAATTCTGGGAATGGAGGGTGGGAAAATCCTGGGAAATGAGGGTGGAAAATCTTGGAAAGGAGGGTGGAAAATCTTGGGAATAGAGCCAGGAAAATTCTGGGAATTGAGGGTGAAAAATGGTGGGAAAAAAGGGTGGAAAATCCCAGGAAAGGTGGGCGGGAAATCCTGGAAAGGAGGGTGGAAAATCCTGAAAAAATCTTGGGGAAAAGGGGTGGGAAATCCCGGGAAATGAGGGCAGGAAATCCTGGGAAATGAGGATGGGAAATCCTGGAAAGGAGGCAGGAAAATCTTGGGGAAAAGGGTGGGAAATCCTTGGAAATGAGGATGGGAAATCCTGGAAGAATCTTGGGAAAAAAGGGTGGAAAATCCCAGGAAAGGAGGGTGGGAAATTTTGGGGAAAAAGAGGTGGAAATTCCTGGGAAAGGAGGCAGGAAAATCCTGGGAATGGAGGGTGGGAAAATCCTGGGAAATGAAGGTGGAAAATCTTGGGAATGGAGGGTGGGAAATCTTGGGAAAAAATGAGTGGAAAATCCCGGGAAATGAGGGTGGAAAATCTTGGGAAAAATGAGTGGAAAATCCTGGGAAATGAGGGTGGAAAATCTTGGGAGTGGAGCCAGGAAAATTCTGGGAATTGAAGGTGAAAAATGGTGGGAAAAAAGGGTGGGAAAATCCTGGAAAGGAGGGCGGGAAATCCCAGGAAAAAATGGTGGAAAATTCTGGGAATGGAGGGTGGGAAATCCTGGGAAATGAGGGTGGAAAATCTTGGAAAGGAGGGTGGAAAATCTTGGGAATGGAGGGTGGGAAATCCTGGGAATTGAGGGTGAAAAACGGTGGGAAAAAAGGGTGGGAAAATCCTGGAAAGGAGGGCGGGAAATCCTGGGAAAAAATGGTGGAAAATTCTGGGAATGGAGGGTGGGAAAATCCTGGGAAATGAGGGTGAAAAATCTTGGAAAGGAGCGTGGAAAATCTTGGGAATAGAGCCAGGAAAATTCTGGGAATTAAGGGTGAAAAATGGTGGGAAAAAAGGGTGGGAAAATCCTGGAAAGGAGTGTGGGAAATCCTGGGAAATGAGGGTGGAAAATCTTGGGAAAAATGAGTGGAAAATCCTGGGAAAGGGGGGTTGGAAATTCTGGGAATCGAGAGTGGAAAATGCTGGGAATATCCTGGGAATGGATGTCAGGAAATCCACGGAAAGGAGGGCGGAAAATCTTGGGAAAGGAGCGTGGAAAATCCCAGGAAATGAGGATGGGAAATCCTGGGAAATAAGGGTGGGAAGGCCTGGAAAGGAGGGTGGAAAATCTTGGGAACGGAGGACAGGAAATCCGGAAAAGAAGGGCAGGAAATCCTGGGAAAAGCGGGTGAAAAATCTTGGGCTAAAAGGATGCAAGACTCTGGGAATCGCTGGTGGGAAAATCCCGGAAAATGAGGGTGGAAAATCCCGGGAAAGGAGGGCGGGGATTCCCGGGAAGTGGCTCCTAGGCCTTGTCCCCGCTGTCCCAAGCCCAGCGGGGCCGGGGACGCGTCCTGGGGAGGCCACCAAGGCCCCGGGGCCGGAAGGGGACAGCGGCCGTGTCCTGGTCCTGGTCCTGGTCCTGGTCCTGATCCTGGTCCTGGTCCTTGTCGCGGTTTCCTGGGAAAAGCCGTGACAGGGATGGCAGCGGGGACAGGAGGGGACAGGGGGTGGCAGCTGCCGGTGTCACCTCCGCGCCCTCCCTGGGGACGTCCCCAGCTCCGCACCTGCTGCGTCCGCCTCCTTCCCGGCGCTGCCGCGCTCCTGCGCTGCCGTGGGATTCCCCGTGGAGATGGTGCCCGTGGAACTGGGGCCCATGGAATTCCTCATGGAATTGGTGCCCATGGAATTGGTGCCCATGGAATTCCCCATGGGATTGGTGCCCATGGAATTGATGCCCTTGGAATTGGTGCCCATGGACTGGTCTCCCATGGAATTGGTGCCCATGGAATTCCCCATGGAACTGGTGCCCATGGAACTGGTGCCCATGGAATTCCCCATGGAATTGGTGCCCATGGAATTGATGCCCTTGGAATTGGTGCCCATGGAATTCCCCGTGGAATTGGTGCCCATGGAATTGATGCCCTTGGAATTGGTGCCCATGGACTGGTCTCCCATGGAATTGGTGGCCGTGGAATTCCCCATGGAACTGGTGCCCATGGAACTGGTGCCCATGGAATTGGTGAACATGGAATTGGTGCCCATGGAATTCCCCATGGAATTGGTGCCCATGGAACTGGTACCCATGGAATCGGTGCTCTTGGAATGGTTTCCCATGGAATTGGTGCCCGTGGAATGGTTCTCCATGGAATGGTTTCCCATGGAATTCCCCATGGAACTGGTGCCCTTGGAACTGGTGCCCATGGAATTGGTGCCCATGGAATTGGTGCCCATGGACTGGTCTCCCATGGAATTGGCGCCCATGTTATTCCCCATGGAATTGGTGGCCATGGAATTCCCCGTGGAACTGGTGCCCTTGGAATGGTTTCCCATGGAATTCCCCATGGAATTGGTGCCCTTGGAACGGTTTCCCACGGAATTGGTGCCCGTGGAATTCCTCATGAAATTGGTGCCCTTGGAGTTCCCCAAGGAATTGTTGCTCATGGAATTCGTGCCCATGGAACTGGTGCCCTTGGACTGGCTTCCCATGGAATTGCTGCCCATGGAATTGCCCATGGAATTGGTGCCCGTGGAATGATTCCTCATGGCATTGGTGCCCATGGAATTGCCCTTGGAATTGGTGCCCTTGGAATGGTTTCCTATGGAGTTGGTGCTCATGGAATTGGTGCCCATGGAATTCCCTGTGGACTGTTTTCCCATGGATTGGTTTCCCATGGAATTCTCCATGGAACTGGTGCCCATGGAATCCCCCGTGGCAGCGTCCAGGGCCCGGCGGCGCCGCTCCAGGATGGATCCCAGCTCCAGGGCCGATCCCAGCTCCCGATCCCGGCTCTGCCGGCTGCGCCTCCGGCTCGGCCTCCGCAGGGCGCCCTGAGACACACGGGGTCACCGGGGGGACAGCACGGGGACAGCGAGGGGGACACAAAGGGGACATCGAGGGGAGGGATAGATACCAAGGGGACATCAAAGGGACATCAGTGGGACGGATGTCAAGGGGACATGGAGGGGACACCACAGGGACACTGCAGGGACAGCACGGCAACACCATGGGTGTACAAAGGGGACATCTAAAGGAGACAGCAAGGGGACATTGAGGGGGACATTGAGGGGACAGCGAGGGGACATCAGGGGGAGGGATATCGAGGGGACACCATGGGGACAGCAAGGGGACATTGAGGGGACGGTTGGGCAGCACTGTGGGTGTACAAAGGGGACATCTAAAGGGGCACCAGGGGGACAGCAAGGGACACTGCAGGGACATAATGGGGACAGCATGGGGACATCAAAGAGACACCACAGGGACACCAAGAGGACATCAAGGGGGCACTGAGGGGACATCAAGGGCCACTGAAGGGACACAAAGGGGACACCACAGGGACAGAATGGGGACACTGCAAGGACGGCATGTCAACACCATGGCAACGCCATGGGGACACCATGGGGACAGCAAGGGGACACCAAGGGGACAGCGAGGGGACACAAAGGGGACATCATGGGGACACCAAGAGGATGCCACAGGGACAGCAAGGGGACACTAGGGGGACACCATGGGCCCATGATGGGGACATTGAGGGGACAGTGTGGGGACATCAAAAGGACATCAAGGGGAACATCATGGAGACATCATGGGGACACCATGGGGACACCATGGGGTACCAAGGGTACACCAAAGGGACACTGAGGGGGCAGCATGGGGACAGTGTGGGGACACTGAGGGGACACCGAGGGGACACTGAGGGGACATTGAGGGGACAGCGCTGCCCACCAGGATCCCCTGCAGCTCCAGCGCTGCGCTCCTCCTCTTGCTGGCTGTGGAGTCCTGCTGGGAAATCGGGAATGGCTCAATCCCGGGAATTCCTGACTCCGGGAATGGCTCAATCCCGGGAATTCCTGACCCCGGAATGGCTCAATCCTGGGAATTCCTGACCCTGGGAATGCCAGGCCTGCCAGCCCCGTTGTCCCCATTGTCACCTGGCACGGGGGTGGCCTGGCCCTGGCCGGCCGCAGGACGATCCCGGTGCGGATCCGCTCCAGCATCTCCTGCACGGCCCTGGCACGGATGTCCTCGGTCCCCGAGTCACCTGCCAGGGTGGCACCGTGTGTCACCTCCCCCCGTGCTGGGGACACCACTCGGGTCACACTGAGGGTGGAGCTGTCACCTCCCCCCCGTGCTGGGGACACCGCTCAGGTCACACTGAGGGTGGAGCTGTCACCTCCCCTGGCAGTGCCACCCTGTCCCCAGATCACCCCCAATGGAGCTGGGGGATCCCTGGAGTGCCCCCTGTCCCTGTGACACTTTGGGGACACTCCTGATGTCACCCACCCCCCCCATCCCAGTAACACTTTGGGGACATTCCCAATATCCCCACCCCGGTGACATTCCCGATGTCCCCACCCCTCAGGACTCACTTTGCTCCAGGTTTTTCCGCACCTTCCTCTGCCTGAGGGTGGCCAGGGGGCTGCGGGGGGGACAGGAGGTGACACCGAAGGGGACAGGAGGTGACACGTCTGTCACCCCATCCCCTCCCCTCTTGGGACGGGGTGGGGACAGCGGTTTTCCAGGAACATTCCGGAATGCTGGCCGGGAGAAGCCGCTGGGATGTGTCACCTACTCGGCGGGGACGGTGGTGGCAGCGGGCGGTGGCAGCGGTGGCGGCGGTGGCACCTCGGGGTGGCTCTGGGGTGGCGGCTGCTGCGCCAGCTGCTCCCGGAGGGACCCCACTGGAATGAGGCGGGATCGGGATTGGGGATCCCTCAGGAATTGTCTGGAATCCCCCCTGGAACCCTCTAAAATCCCCCTGGGATCCCCCTGGAATTTCTCTGGAATTTTCTGGAATCCCCCCTGGAATCTTCTGGAATCCCTTTGGAATCCCCTCTGGAATCTTCTGGAACCTTCTGGGATTCTTTGGAATCCATCTGGGATCCCCTTGGAATTTTCTGGAATTCTCCTGGGATCCCTTCTGAAATAATCTGGAATCATCTGGAATCCCCTCAGAATCTTCTAGAACCCCACTGAAATCCTCTAAAATTCCCCTGGAATAATGTGGAATTCTTGCTGAAATCCTCTAAAATCCCCCTGGAATTCTTTGGAATCCATCTGGAATCTTCTGGAATCCTCCTGGATTTTTTTCCTGGAATCCTCTAAAATCCCCCTGGAATGTTTTTGAATCCCCCTGGAATCCTCTGGAATCCCCCCTGGAATTCCTTGGAATTTTTCTGGAATCCCTCTGGAATTCCATGTGGAAATTCCCACCTTCCTTCTCCAGCCCTTCCAGCCTCTCCCTCAGCTCCCGCTTCTCCTCCCGCTCCTCCTCCAGCGCTTCCCGCGCCCGCTGCAGCTCCTCCCGCTCCTGCTCCAGCTCCTCCTCCTGTGGGAATGCGGGAATTCCGGGATCTGGGAAAACCCCAAGGACGGCGACGCTTCCCCGACCCTAAAATTGGGAATTCGGGGAAAAACTCCCGGCGGGTTTAAGGGCAAATCTGCCCTCGCTGTGGGATGGGGTTCCATGGACAGCTTGGGAAATCCGTGGAAGGAATTCCATGGTGGGAAATCCGTGGAAGGAATTCCATGGTGGGAAATGCATGGAGGGAAATCCATGGTGGGAAATCCATGGAAGGAGATCCATGGAGGGAAATCCATGGGAGAAAATCCAGGGATAGAAATCCATGGAGGGAAATCCATGGAGGGAACTCCATAGTGGGAAATGCATGGATAGAAATCCATGGAAAGAAATCTGTGGTAGGAAATCCATGGAGGGAAATCCGTGGTGGAAATCTGTGGTGGGAAGTCCATGGAAGAAAATCCATGGAGGGAAATCCATGGAAGGAGATCCATGGTGGGAAAACCATGGTGGGAAATCCATGGTAAGAATTGCATGGAGGGAGATCTATGGGACAAAATCCAGGGATGGAAATCCATGGTGGGAAATCCATGGTGGAAATCCATGGTGGAAATCCATGGAAAGAAATCCATGGAGGGAAATCCACAGTAGGAAATCTGTGGTGGGAAATCCATGGAGGGAAATCCACAGTGAGAGATTCACGGTAGGAAATCCATGGAAGGAAATCGGTGGTGGAAAATCCATGAAAGGAGATCCATGGAGGGAAATCCTTGATAGGAAATGCATGGAGGGAAATCCATGGGAGGAAATCAGGTGGGAAATCCATGGAGGGAAATCCACAGATGGAAATCCACGGTGGGAAATCCGTGGAGGGAGATCCATGGAGGGAAATCCATGGTAGGAAATGCATGGTGGAAAATCCATGGTAGGAAATCCATGGTGGGAAATCCACGAAGAAAAGGAAATCCATGGATGGAAATCCATGGTGGTAAATGTATGGAAGGAGATCCATGGATGAAAATCCATGGAGGGAAGTCCATGGTGGGAAATCTGTGGTGGGAGATCCATGGAGGGAAATCCGTGGTGGGAAATGTATGGATAGAAATCCATGGTGGGAAATCCATGGTGGGAAATCCATGGATGGAAATCCATGGTGGGAAATCCATGGATGGAGATCCATGGACGGAAATCCAGGGAGGGAAGTCCATGGTGGGAAATCCATGGAGGGAAATGCATGGAAAAGCAGCACTCCATGGAATAATGGGAATGGAGGGGTGGGACCTGGACCCTGCTGTCCCCTCCCCGTGATGTCCCCAAGCTTGGGGACATTCCCTCACCCGCTGGCGCCGTTCCTGCCGCGTCTCCTCCAGCTCCCGGCTGAGTTTTTCCAGTTCCTGGAACGCTTCCAGGATTTGGGAATCGGGCGCGGCGCTCCTCAGCAGGATGGAGCTCTGGCGCTTCGCCTCCTTCTGCTGGACCAGCATCTGCGAGCGCGGGTGTCACCGCGGTGTCACCTCCCTGTCACCTCCCTGTCACCTCGGTGTCACCCTCTGGGGGGCCTGGTGGTGAATCCCACCCGGCTCCATCCCGGGAAACCACACTGGGAGAATCCTGGGATCATCCCATTCCCTTGGGATCACCCCGTTCCCTCGGGATGGGTGACAGGGATGTGCTGGGACACCCCATTGTCACCTCAGTGCCACCCTCAGCAGTGTCCCCAACCTCTCAGTGTCACCTTGGTGTCACCTTCTGGAGGGACTGGGTGGCTCCTTCCCAGGAAACCACAGCGGGAGAATCCTGGGATCGTCCCATTCCCTCGGGATCACCTCATTCCCTCGGGATGGGTGACCCCACTGCCACCTCCGTGCCACCCCCAGCGGTGTCCCCAAGGCCTTGGTGGCACCTGGTGGGCGAAGGCCTCGGCGTGGCAGCGCAGGTCCTGCTCCAGCTCCAGCTGCTCCAGGGCCTGGCAGTAATCCTGGGTGACAATCTGGGACACTGCGGGGACAGCGGGGTGGGAAAGGGGGGAAAAGATTTGGGAAATGGGAGGGAAAAGGGTGGGAAAAAGGATGGGAAAAGGGGGTGGGAAATGGGGGAAAAAGAGTTGGAAAAGTGTAGGAAAAGGGGGAAGGGAAAGGTGGGAAAGGGGGGAAATGAGGGGTGGGAAATGGGGGAAGGAAAGGAGAGGAAAAAGGGTGGGAAATGGGGGAAGGAAAGGAGAGGAAAAAGGTTAAAAAAGGGTGGGGAAAAGGGGAAAATGAGGCGTGATAAGGGGGGAAAAGGGTGGGAGAAGTTTGGGAAATGGGGAGAAAAGGGTGGGAAAAGGGGAGAGGGAAAGATGGGAAATAAGGGAGGAAAAAGTGGGAAAGAGGAAATGAGGGGTGGGAAATGGGGAAAAAAAGGGGGGGGAAGGGCAGGAAAAAGGTGGAAAAATAGGGGAGGAAAGGAGGGAAAGTGGAAGAAAAATGTGGGTAAGGTTTGAGAAATGGGAGGGAAAAAGGGTGGGAAAAAGGATGGGAAAAAAGGGGTGGGAAATGGGGGGAAAAGGGTCGGAAATTGTAGGAAATATGGGAGGGAAAGGTGGGAAAAGGGGGAAATAAGGGGTGGGAAATGGGGGAAAAAGGGGTGGAAAAAGAGTGGGAAATGGGGGAAGGAAGGCAGGAAAGGAGGGGGAAAAGGTTAAAAAAGGGCGGGAAAAGTTTGGGAAATGGGGGGAAAAGGGTGGAAAAGGGGGGAGGGAAAGGTGGGAAATGGGGGAGGAAAAAGTGGGAAAGAGGAAATGAGGGGTGGGAAATGGGGTGGGAAAAGGGGGAATGAGGGGAGGGAAATGGGAAAAAAAAGGGGGGGAAGGGCAGAGAAAGAGTGGAAAATGGGGAGGAAAAGGGGGGGAAAGTGGAAGAAAAGAGTGGGGAAGGTTTGAGAAATGGGAGGGAAAAGGGTGGGAAAAAGGATGGGAAAAAGGGGTGGGAAATGGGGGAAGAAAAGTCAGGAAAGGAAGGGGAAAGGTTAAAAAAGGGTGGGAAAAGGTGGGAAAAGTTTGGGAAATGGGGGGAAAAAGGTGGCAAAAGGAGGGTGGAAAAGGTGGGAAATGGGGGGAGGAAAAGTGGGAAAGAGGAAATGAGGAGTAGGGAAATGGGTGGGAAAAAGGGGAATGAGGGGTGGGAAATGGGGGAAAAAGGGGTGGAAAAAGGGGTGGGAAATGGGGGAAGAAAAGGCAGGAAAGGAGGGGAAAAAGGTTAAAAAAGGGTGGGAAAAGGGGGAAAATGACACATGGTAAGGGGAGAAAAGGGTGGGAAAAGTTTTAGGAAATGGGGAGAAAAGGGTGGGAAAAGGGCGGAGGGAAGGTGGGAAAGAGAGGGAATGAGGGGTGGGAAATGGGGTGGGAAAAGGGGGAATGAGGGGTGGGAAATGGGAAAAAAAAGGGGGGGGAAGGGCAGAGAAAGAATTGAAAATGGGGAGGAAAAGGGGGAAAAGTGGAAGAAAAGAGTGGGAAAGGTTTGAGAAATGGGAGGGAAAAGGATGGGAAATGAAAGGAAATGAGGTGGAGGGAAAGGGGGGAAAAGGTTGGGAAAGGAGGTGAAAATGATGGGAAAATGGGGGAAAAGGGTGGAAAATAGGGGTGGGATAGGGAGGGAAGAAGGGTGGGGAAAAGATGGGGAAAAAGGAGAAAAAGGGGGAAAAAAGGGAGGAAAAGGAGGCGAAAAGGAGGGGGAAAAGGGGGAAATGAAGGTGATGCCACCACGGGCAGCTGCCAGCCGTTGGTTTGGGGTGGCACTGGTGGCACTGGTGGCACTGGAGGGGACATGGGGACCCTGCTGACCTCTCTTGAAGGACCTCAGTGCCCTCTGGCTGGCGGCCAGGGCTGCCCGCAGGCGCTGCTGCTCCTCCCGCTCCAGCTCCAGCTGTGCCGGGAAAATACAGGAAAATACGTGAGAAATCTGGGAAATATCCGGGAGAAAATCCGGGAGAAAATCCGGGAGAAAATCAGTGACAAATCCGTGAAAAATCTGGGAGAAAATCTGGGAGAAAATCAGTGAAAAATCCATGACAAATCCGTGAAAAATCTGGGAGAAAATCTAGGAGAAAGTCAGTGAAAAATCCATGACAAACCCGTGAAAAATCTGGGAGAAAATCTGGGACAAAATCAGTGAAAAATCCATGACAAATCCGTGAAAAATGTGGGAGAAAATCTGGGACAAAATAAGTGAAAAATTCATGACAAATCCGCAAAAATCCGCGAAAAATATCTGGGAGGAAAATCCGGGAGAAAAATCTGGGACAGATCCTCAAAAAAAATCTGTGAAAACGTCATGAAGAATCTGTGAATAATCAGGGAGAAATCCAGGAGAAATCTAGGAGAAAATCAGTGGCAATCCCCAAGAACTCGGTGAAAAAATCTGGGAGAAAATCTGGGACAAATCTGCAAAAATTCGTGAAAAATCCAGAAGAAAATACGTGAGAAAATCCAGGAGAAATCCACAAAAATTTTGTGAAAAAATTTAGCAAAAAAATCTGTGAAAAATATGGGAGAAAAATCAGTGAAAAAAATCCATGAAAAATCCACAAAAAATCTGC